CCGGGCCCCAAAAGTCCTACTCACTTTTCCAGCGACGACGCGAATAACCAACCGGGGTGATGGGGTGGGGGGGACGTACGCGCACCGGTTCGTGTTACGACCTCTCACCGTTCCACTACTTTTATTCCGGAATGTTTCCTCTCTCTCTCTTTTACGCGGCTCTCGTGTTTCGGCGGTATCCCCCCCCCCCCCCCACACACGCGCACACGTGTCGTACGCGCGACGAAATGACGCTCGAAAACTTCGACCGACCACGCTATTTGCATACGAGAGGCTCCGAAAAAAATTGGCGGGGTCCCGGCATTCCTTTGCCGCCGGTGTGTGCGCGCACCGTTGGCGGGGCGACGCGTGAAACGGTACGCGCGCGACGAGTACGACGACAAACGCGCACAGGTAACGACGGACGCGCGCGTCTTCGAATCGCCGCCCGCGTTTGTCCTATGGATACCGGTCCGCGGGCGACTACCGAGTCCGTGTCCCGGGGGTAATCCACTGGTCGGCGAGTAATTCACCGTTGGAGTTTAAAATAATAGATCAATGAGATACGTCCGTGAAGTTGGCCCCCCCACTTTGTCCTATCGAATTCAAACCTTCACCAATATTTTGGAACTAATTTGGAACTATTTGGAACCAACTTTTTAATTAGTTCCAAAATATTGGTAAAGGTTTAAAGTCGATAGAACAAAGTGGGGGGGCTGCGTGAAGTTGGCCCCCCCAACCGAAAATTTCTTATTTCGAGAAAAGGGTGAAGTTCCAAATTATAAAAAATTGGTTCCAAATAGTTCCAAATTAGTTCCAAAATATTGGTGAAGGTTTGAATTCGATAAGACAAAGTGGGGGGGCCAACTTCACGGACGTCAATGAGATCAATGAGAGGTCCAGAGAAAAAAAAATCTTTTCCGAACCCTTACGCTTTAAACGTAGCGGAGTGTAAAAATAACTATCCGATTATTGCAATTGACTTATATTAAAAAATTACAATATTAGAAGTATGAAAATAAAAGTTGACACGGTCCCCCGGAGTATTGCTGCCTTCCGCCGGTTGTCGACCTCCGGAGGTAATCGATTCTCCGGCGCAAGCTGCCGTCACCATATGGAACGGTGTTGGATCCGAATCGTTAAGATGTGTTCGACCGGCAACGATTTCATTCCCGTTTTCTACGGGCTTAGGTTTAACTCTGGATTCTAGAGCTATTAGAACATTTAAGTAACTTATTTATTAATCCATTTATCATATCGACGGACGATCTCCAAAAATATAACCCCAACATGTAATTGGAAATTATTGAACTTCAAAGTTCAGCAGTTTTAAAATGTAAATACAAAAAGTTGTCTGAGATTATAGAATTTTGGAAATGGGTATCAGAGGAAGATTTTCCAGAACTACATAGTCTAGCATTGAAATTGGTTAGTAGATTCGGCTCGACATATTTATGTGAAAAGAGTTCTCGGATGAGTTTTATCAAAAATAAGTACAGAACCAAATTACGAAGAGATAATATCCATAAAACAAATTCAACATTAAACTGTCATAAAAAAAATATCTACTTGTATGAAAAAATCTAAAATTAAAATTTATATTTTATAGAAATAAATAAATATTTTTTAAGGCACATTCTCAATTTTGTATTTATTATTTGGCACAATATAGAAAAAGGTTGGCCATCCCTGCTCTAGAATCATAGACGTTGGAAATATTTCGTACTTACATTCGTGTACAACGTATTCGATTTTTTTTTTTTTTTAGACGATTCAAGAAAAGATACAATTGGTAAAGTCAAACAAATAAATGGACATAGTAATTCAAATAACCATTAAACAAGTAATTAGGTGTTGTATAATAGCTATAATAAATGAATTGTAATAAAAACGATAGAAATCACAAACGGTATATTAAATTCTTCAAACATTGTAATGGGACAAGTTTCAACTACGTGTTTGTATGCAATTCTCCACATTCGCAAAGTCTGCCGTGCCCCATTTATGGAATAGTTGCATCTTCCACTTATTTCATACTTGAATAGTTCGAACACCATCTAGAATATTATGTGGTCGAAAATGTTGCTCGGCACAACGCGTACGTATTTGTGCTCGTATTGAATGGAAAGAAAAATAATAATGCCTGGAATATAGGGGTATAGTATTTGTTTTCCTTACCTCAACAATATGGTTAGTTATATGGTATGGGTTATATGGTTATGGTTAGTTAACAATATCGTAGTTGGTCATGATTAGTAATATTAGAAAAATAAATCGCCACAACTTGAAGTACAGTAGTTTGGTCGTTGTACCCATGTAATCGTAAAAACAGGTCTGAAGGACGAGTGAAAGAAACTGACGAACTAAGTGAAGTGCCCAGGGTTGTTGTCGGGGGCGGGTTAAAGGGAGCAATTACCCCTGGGCTCGTGTAAGATATGACGGTGCTTATTTTGCATAATATGCACACAGCCGTTATATTATCGTATATTTATATCATA